TGCCCAGGTGCCCCCCGAACTCGCTCTGGACCCCCCCCCCAAACTCGCTCTGGACGGCCTGGGGCCTGAAGGGTGCCGGCGAGTGGAGGGAGGGTGGGGGGGAAGGGGAGGCGGAGGGAGGGAGGGAAGGAAGGGAGGGGGGGGGGAATGATGGGTCGACGGGGTGGAGGGGGGGAGTGAGGGAGGAAGAGGCGAGGAAGAAGAGAGGGGATTGGACGGCAGGGAAGGCGAGGGGAGGGACGGCATCGTGAGAGGGAGATGTGCATGAGACGGGAGTGCAGATATGGAATGCGGGAGGGGAGAGGATGATTTTTGTTGGGCAGGAGACTCGAGATGGGCATGGAGACTGCGTGCCGCTGCAGCTTGCATTGGGGCTAGACAGGAAAACTACCGGACCCTTGGGCGTTACACGGGCTTCGCTACCCTCGGCACCCCTGAGACCAGCCGAGGGAGTGGTGCTGGGCCCGAAGAGAAGGAGAAGGACAAAAGAGCAAGGACAGGAGAGACACATTGCCCAATAGCCTATCTTGCGTGACGGCATCGGTCTCCTCGGCGAGAGGCACTTTAGTTCCTGCTGCCCAGGCGTGAGCGCACGAATGTTATAGCAAAACTGTCGGGGTGGGGAACTGAAGGAGATGGGGGAGCTGACCATGAAGCAGAGTGAGAGAGGGAGAGAGTTGCCTAAAAGAGCGGTACGTCTTGGAGACCTGGACACTTAAGCTGAGTTGGAAACGATGCTGCTTGATAGATAGCAAACACGCTGAAGGCCTTGCTGGAGCGGCGAGTGGTAGCGGGTCGCCATCAGGGAGTGCCGTTCCGCAGAGACTCGCTGTCAGGGCACGCGTGCAGCGGCTGACTTCCGCGACAGGCCCCTGTGATAGAAGAGGGCTAGCGCCCGTGTGGTAGCGGGTCCCATACGGGAGGGCCGCTCCGCAGAGACTCGCCGTTCGGGGCATAGCTTTGCAGCTAGTGTATCGTGAGAAGCGCTGGGGCGTCGCCTGCAAGAGCGTCGAAACGTGCGCGACGTGATCGCCACTTGGGGACACGTGCTGCAGAGAGCCGCTTGCGACAACCTTTAGGCAAGCACAGACCTGAGGAAATCAGCAGAGCAGAGGTTGTCTCCTGCTGTCCCCTCCAGTCTATGGCCTCTCGTGCTGCTACCGCTGCTGCTCCCGTGCTGGCAAGCCTTTTCGAAGCCCCACTTCGGTGGATTGCAGTGCATCGCTGGTGGTGGCAGAGCAGTTGAAGCCTGTACAGTCCGACACCAGGCGGCCTAGGCAACGCACCGGCAGGGGCGTTGCGTTCGCAAGTGTGTGCGGGCGACAGGCCGAGCCCGCAGGCATCCTGGTAGCCAGCCCGCGCGCCACGGCCGTGGAAAACATCAGCCGTAACAGCTGCTGGCGCTGAGAGTGAGGAGCATGCGCTTGCAAGTCAGTCTAAGATCACACCTGCGTTTACACGATGATCGAACAAGCTTGCCAGCAAAGCAACAACAGCCAATCCTATTTGCAAATTGTAGGGAGGCAAGCAGTAGCTGGCATGTGGGCTGCCGCTCTGGCAGGCTGTCGCTGGAAATGGGCGTAGGCTGGCATCGAGGAGAGGGTGTCGCTGAAGCCAAGCATGCATGTCCCTCCTCATACGTCCCTACAGCCTCCCTTCTTCACGCTCCTTGGAAGACGAGCAACCCAGAGGCCTGCCATGCAGGCGAGAGCTCCGTCGTGAACAGGACCTGCATAGCATGTGCCCTAGCACACGATGAGGATTGCGACGCGGTAGGTTCATACAACTCTTCGAGGTGTCTAGCTGGAGCCCCGTCTTGAAAAGGAACCGCACTCATTCCGTGCAATGGTTTTACAGATATGCACTTCTGGACACGAGGTCTACGAGTCTCACGCGAGAGTCAAATTTTGAAAAGGAGCCGCCCTCCGTGCGTGCAGCTCTTATGCCTGTTCACGCTTCTGGTGGTAATTTTGACGAAGTCTCATGCGAGAGACCCAGCTTGAAAAGGATGAAATGGCACCGCCCTCCATCAGTGCCACTGTCTCACAAGTCTACACTTGTGGTTGCGTGTATCAGGAAGTCTCAGGCGGGAGCCACATTCGGGAAACGAGCCGGCCTCCATCCGCGTACTTGTCGCAAACAGTCAAGACGATTCTGTGTGGTGCTGAGACGAGATCCCCATTGAAACATTTTCCATCCGTGCAACTGGAAGCTTTTAAGACGAGTATGCGGGGCGCTACCGCGAGGGCACCATACAAAGCGATCAGCCGGCCTCCATCCGTGTGGCTGTTGGTTTTTGAAGCGAATGTGTGCGCGGCGCTTAGGGCAGATCCCCAGTTTGAAAAGGCCCGCTTCCTTCATCCGTAAGGTTGCTGGAATCGTTTAAGACGATGTGTGCAGCTCGAAGGCGGGAGCCTCACTTCGCCAATGATCCCCCTCCGTCCGTGTAGCTGCTGCAGCTTGTAAGTTTCAGGATCATACGTGGTGAAAAAGTATCAGG